CACTGGGACTTCTGACCTACAGAAGCTTTGAGAAAATAGATGTGTGTGGTTTAAGCTGCTAAGTTTATGGTAATTTATTGTGGCAGCAATAGAAAATGAACCCAGTGCTTCATACTGTGCAACAACCCTGAATAATTACTGTGTTGAGGAAAGCCTGGAAACATACATATAGACAAGGCAACATTTTTAAACACAGCTACATGGTGATTCTGGAATGAGTGGGGTTAATTCTGGACTTGTTACAAACCTGGACCCAATGCAGCAATGTTTTGCTAGGACACACAGAACTTAAGTCCGTCTGTCACCGCATTCACCAGGAATTGCTTGGGGCTAAACAGCACAATAATAGACCCCAAGACGAACACCACGAACTGAACACACTCCTGGGGCTAAAGCCACACACAGCACCATACTTTGCCTCTACTGTTGCCTGCAAAGACTGGACCAAAACCTTACTCTTTAGCGTTGACATGAGGCTCCCTCCAAACAATGGGACCATTTCTCTGCGGTGGCACTCATGTGTAGCTCCAAAAAAGATGACATTTGCTTCTTCCTAGCAAGATGATGCTTTTGAGAAACTCGTTTGATAAAGAATCCTCAGGTCCACTTTCGTTGGCTTGATTCCTTTTCCAGAAATGAGAGTGGTGGCCTCATTCACAGTTACCAAATCATGGAGCTGAAGATTACATTTCAAAGAGTTTCTCTGTTTTCAAAGTTTATGAAAAGGTACCATCTTCTTTATTACCTCTCTCTCCTGAGCTCTGGACGCCTGTGACCAACTGGACATCTCCACTTGGATAACCCGTAGGTACCTTGCAAGGCCGCATGCATCATTGTGCACGTGTGCACAAGGGGGTCACCTCTAATGGGGACCATTCACAGTGGAAGTCTCATAGATCTCTAGGTCTGTTATGGCCCTTTCTTGGCACATGGCCCTCAGAGGTTGAGCTTCGATGACATCGGCATATTGTGACCATTTTATGGCAAACAGCAGCCCAGTGTTGGAGGAGGTGGTCTCTTGTTCTGATGCACACCAGAGCTCTTTAAGGGCTGGGGGTCAGGGTATGGCACACTTGACATGTCCAAAATGAACTTGTCCTCCTCACCCATCTCTCCCAACTACTTGTCACCCCACGTTCCTTGTCTCAGTGACCGCTATTGTGGTCTATCTGTTCGAAAACTTGGTGCCAGCCTTGACCCCTCTCTTAACCTCTTCCTCTCTCTCTTCTTCACGCCCAGCATCCCATCAGTCACTGTGTCCTGTCTGATGTCAGGCCCTCATGCATCAGCTTCTGAAAGGATCTTCCCACAGCCCCTCCTGCCCCTCCAGTCCATCCTCCGTCGTGCAACCTTGGCCATGCTTCCAAAGTGTAACTATGGTCAGTTCACCCTTCTGCAGGATCCTGCTGTGGCTTCTTGTTGCCTCTAACAGGGTATCTCCAAGTGTGAGATAGACAGGGCATCGGTATCAGACTCACTCGAGGTGCTTTATCAAATGTGGACTCTCAGCATCCCCTTCCCTGCCAAGCTCCTGGATTTGCAGATTCTCTGCAGGGGGGCTCATGCGTCTGTATATTAGTAGATGTCCCAGGTTATTTTTATGCATGCAATTTTTGAAAACTGTGCAACTGGCAGGACAAAGGCACTTTGATTTCCCCCAGGTGAGCACCAGCGTGGGCCTGACAATTCACTCCTCCCCTTGCCTCCCACCGCACAGGTGGGCACCTGTTCCCCGACAGTGATCCCTGGGAAGGCAGGGTGGTCAACCCAATAACTGAGTAGGCCCCGATGGGGGCCTTGTGGGGCAGAGGAGGGAGGGTCACGTGTATGCTGGGAGGCAATTCTCCATGGCCATGTCAGGTTTCTGCGTGACCCAGGTCCTCTGGGTGAGTGCTCCACAGGAAAGGAATCCCAAATTCAAGAACGGTGATATAAGGAGATATTCCAAGACAGTAAAGTGTAGAGACATCGCGGTCCCCAGAGCCAGTTCAGAGTGGTACAGGGAAAAGACCGCCCCCCCCCCCCGAGATTTATTGCATTCCAGGATAATGAGGAATTGCTGTTTCAGAAGAGAGAATGGTGCACCCCATTACATATGCAGGTACCATCTGGCCCCCTGTTGGTCAAAAGAGACTACGGGGCTGGCCACCTTCAAGAGGAGGGGAGTAGACCCCACCTCTCGATGTGGAGATCAGGGCTGGGCGAATCCATCCAGGATGTTGCCCTGGCTGCTGCTTTTGCCGCAAATGATAAACTGCCTTTAGTTTTGACCCAGAGACCTCACGTTTTCTGTCAGATTGTCAGTGGAGTAGCAGGCTACATTTCGAGTTTGCTACTAGCAGTAAACCTCAGACCCTCCACAACTGTGGACCTCAGAGTGTGTGGCACCTTCCTCAGAGGGCAGCAACGGTTTGGGCATGGATCCTCAGCTGAGTGTGGAAGGAGGCTGCCGGGGGTGGGAGGTGGCTACTTTTCTGGGCCCCACATCAAGAGCGGTGTTTGGGCGCTCTATTGTTGTACACACACACACACACACACACACACACACACACACACACACACATCTCAAAACCTAGTGGCTTAAAATACCAAGTTATTTCTCAGAACTCTGTGGTTCAATGGAATGAGTCTCCAACTTCACCTGGTGTTGGCCGAACCATCAGGATGGCTAGAAGGCCTGAAATGGCCTCAGTCACATGGCCGCCAGCTTGTGCTGGGTGCTGGCTGGGAGCCTTGGTTCTCTTCCATGTGGACCTTTCTGTACGGCTGGTCGGGTTTCCTCACAGAGTGGCCGCTGAGTTCCAAGAAAGAGTATTCCCAGCATCCAAGGCAGAAGTTGCAGATCCCTTAGGTCCAAGCCTTGGAAGTTACTACATAGCGCCCTACCCTGCTGCCATATTGTGTCGGCCAAAAGAGGTTATGGGGCCTGTCCACATTCAAAGGGAAGGGACATAGATTCTACCTGTTGACATAGAAGTGGCAAGGTCACATTGCAGAGGAGCATGCAGAATGGGGGATATTATTGCAGCTGCCTTTGGAGGCACATTCTACCACAGATGGACCACATAACCACAGATGGACCACATAATAGTATTTCTCCAAGTGCTCTGAGCCCTGCCTGCACCGGAATCCAGCACAAAGCACAAACTTCTTAAGCTCCATGTCTTGGCCCTATTGGCCTCTAGTTGACCTTCTCACTTGCCTTGTCTGACTTTATGCTCCAGCAAATTTCAGTAATTTCTTAGAGTTCACTTGCACATAATATGCTGTTTAAACAGCTCCACACTTTTGTCCATAATTGTTCTTTCTGCCTACAACGACTTGACTTTTTCAACTGATTGAAGGCTTACTCATCCTTTAAGATTCAGCTTTGCATACACTTTTCTAGGAAGCAGTCCTAACCCCTCTCCTCCCACAGCCCTGTGGGCTTGCCACCGTCATTGCTCTCACCAACAGGGAGTCACTTGACTGAACTTCTTAGGCAGTAATATGTCTGATTGCTTCTCTGTGCCCTAAGTCCTATGTTTGCTTCACTGAATTCTAGGTGGAATAGTGTCACAGTGAATTCCTCAATGGCCTAATCCTACTTGAAGCTTATGGTACTTAAAATATGTTTAAAATTTTACCATTTCTTTCTGACAAATCTCAGGGCAGCTGGGATGCTTGCAAAAAGTTCTGGAGGCAGGAAAGGCCAAGACTGAGGTCCAGTTCCTGATGAGAGCCCTCTTCCTGGCTTGCTGAAAGCTACTTCTGACTGTGTCCTCACATGGCCTTTCTACAGTGCCTGCTCACAGAGAGAGTGAGACCAAGCTCTCTGGTGTCTCTTCTTAATAAACGCAGTAATCTCATCATGCCAGGGCCCATCCTAGGATCTAATCACCTCGAAAGGCTTCATCTCCAAATACCATCAACTGAGGGTTAGGGAGGGCATCAACACATGAATGGGGTGGGGGAAGGTGAGAACACAGTCTCTAATAGCGGATTAAACATTTGATTTCATAATTTTAGAAAGCCAGAAGCCTGCAGGAGATGGGTCTCCGGTGTGTCTGGACATCTTCCCGTTCTTCCTCCCAGCCATCCTCAGTCTTCCTTCCACGCCAGGCAGGCCCCACCCGCTCATGGGTGTACGATGGCTGCCGGGGCTCCAGACATCACATCCTCATCCTCTACGTTCAGTTTTAAGTTATTAAGCTAGTAGGACAGGATGGGTCTGGGATGGGAATGGCCATCTTCCTGTCTACAGTTCTGCTTTTTATCAGGGTCACGGCTCTGCCGTCTGTACCCAGGGAAATCACAGCAAAGGCCTTAGTCATGATTGCCATCACCACCCCCAGCAAGGTCAGGGGTGAGCTGGGAGGCGATGAGCCTTTATCATCAGATACTGGCTGGATTTCCATAGCAGCAGAAGCTAAACATTACTGGTACTGTAAAGCAGGGCCGGAAGTTCCGAGGGCGACATCAGAACACCCGATCGCCCCACAGATGGTGGGGAGGTGGGTTTGTGGGAGGCAGGGAAGAATGGCGTGGGGGAGGAATTGCTAAAATGTACGCAGTTGCTCTGGCTTTAAGACGACGAGACTAGCGACTCCCGGGGTCCTGGGCCGTCCTCACCTCAAAAGTTTCCCGGGAAGGAAAATGGAGGGAAACAGATGGTTTCTAATCCCTGAACGCCCCCCAACTTCTCGTTCACCCGGTGCCTCCCCGGCCACTCTGGCGCGTTCCCGCGCGCAGCCGGGGGCGCCGGCCAGTCGCCGGCTCCCGGCGCGCGCGGCCCGGGCCCAGGTAGGGCTCTGTGAGCGGGGGCGCGGTCGGGCCCCGCGCGCCGCTCCCCGCCCCCGGCCCCGCGCGCGGCCTTGTGGGTAGCGCGGGGCCGCCAGGTGACAGCTAATGGCGGCGGCCGCCTGAGCCGGCGGGCGGCGCGGCGCGGCACGGCGGAGGGCCCTTCCGGGCGCCGCTCCCCACTCGCTGGGGCTTCCCCGCGGCGGCGGGCCCGGCGCGCCATGGACAGGCCGGCGGCGGCGGCGGCGGCAGCGGGCAGCGAGGGCGGCGGGGGCCCGGGCCCGGTGCCGGCGGGCGGCAGGAGGCCTCCTCGGGGCGCGGGGGCCCCTGCCGCCGGCTCCCGGCAGCCCAGCGTGGAGACCCTGGACAGGTAAGCGGGACCCGGGCCGCCAGGGCCTCCGCGCCCCGACCCCCGCGGGCCCCGCGCGCCGCGCCGACGAGGCCGGGGTGGGGCGTGCCCCCCTCCGTGCCCCCCTCCGTGCCCCCCTCCGTGCCCGGCCGGGTCCCTCCCACCCCCCAAGGAGACCCCGGACCCTGCCCCCACGTCCTAGGGCCGCGCACCTGGCTCACTTCCGCCTCGCGGGCTGGGGCTCCCTGCACCCCGAGGGGCTTCGCCGCTGTCAAACCTTTTAAGTTCCCCTTCCAGCCGCACCTTGGAGATGCGGCCACCCGGCCCTTGGGGGGAAATTTCATCCGGGGGCTCTCTTTTAGCGCGACCTTCCCTTCTGGGGTTGGAAGACCAAAATCCCGCCGTGCTGCTTTGGAGTCTTTGATGGTGGGGTTGGGAGTGGGGACTGGGGCACTCAACCCCGTGGGTGTTGGAGGTGGTGCAGATGGAGACAAAGTTACCCTGCTTTGAAAAGCTGGGATGGAAAACTTTCAAACTGCTTCCGATGCAAGAACACACAGTCGTTTACTTTCAGCCCTTCACATTTTGAAGGAACCCGGTTGATTGTTTTCACGAACACAGAAGCCTACCACTGGTTCTTAGGCAGTTGCAGAGCCAATATCAATCAGAAGTATAAACTGACCACGTCCAGCCGGGAGGGCCACCCTAAGGCTCCGAGGACAAGGGATGGGTTATCCCGTAGCCCAGAATATCCAGTTTTCCCACATGTTGGCCATTTCGCCAACGGGGGGGGGGGGGGGGGGGGGGGGGGGGGGGGGGGGGGGGGGGGGGGTGCGGTTAGGCAAGGGATAGTGTGGTAAGGCAGCTGGGTGAGTGTCAGATGCTCGTTCTTGCCTGTGTTAGTCATAGCAGTGAGCTGAACTTTGGGGAGTTTCCTGAAGCATAGGAACAACTAGAAACACTCCCTTTGTTTCTCCCTCCGTGTAATTACAATGTAGTCTGGTAAATCAATGAGCCTAGTGATCAACTTCACTGAGAACTAATCACAGCTAAGGTAGAACGTGGAGGGGTCAGGGTTCCACTCATTTGCAGACATTCTACAATGTATGAGGACCTGGAAAGTTAGAGAATAATACAAGATGGGGTTTGCTCTCTGGATTACCATTTAGTGAAGAATGCAAACAAACCAGTAATTTAAATCGGATGTGGTGAGTGCTAGGGTAGAGGTCAGCACAGAAGTGCTCTGGATGGGGTGCGTGTGCATGGGAATCATCTGAGAAGCTTTCTAAGAGCTCCACGTGAGCAGGCCCCACACCTAAGGCTTCAGGAGTTAATATTTTTCAAAAACCCTCTGCAGACTCCATTGTGATGCGCTGCACTGTGGGCACACGGAGGTGGGGTGCTTGATTTATTATTTAGTCTGGGGTGGGGGGTGGGACACTATGGGCAGTTAAGGGAAGGAGGCCTTCTGAGGAAGCTGACATTTGAAGTGAGTGGTGAGGAATGAGAAGTTAGCCAGGGGACAGGGTGGGGAGGGCTTTTTGGCCTAGGGAGTGGAATGTGCAGTCATGCAGGCGATGCTGGATATGCGGAACTGGTAACTCCAGAAGACGTGTGGGAAGGGGGGGGGCCCGATCTCGAAGGGGCTTCGGTGCCTTCCTAGGGAATTGTGCCATTATCTTCTGCGCCGTGCTTCTCAGAGCCTGATTCTGTGTACCCTGTGTAGGAATCACCTCCAGTGTTTGATGTAAATGCAGAGTGTTGGATCCCACCCTAAGTCTAGTCAGTCCACATCTGGGGTAGAGCCTAAAATTTTGTACTTTGGCCAAGTACCTGTAGCTGCAAGAAGGTTGGTCCAGGTGGTCTCTCTTGCCCAGGATGGTACTGGCTTAGTAGTTGGGCTGGTATGATTAATAACAGCGTCGTCCTTCAACTCACCATAGTGTCTTGGTTTGGAAAGGAAATTAAATGGTCCCTTAGCGATGGGGATCACGAAAGGATTTCCATCAGGTGAGATTTCCATCAGGATGGGATTGACATTTGAGAACATTTGCTCTGCGGAGGTGTGGTGAATAGACCGGAGGTGGGCAGTCTTCTTGAGTAGCTTATGGAAAAGCTAATCACTCACTTATTATGTGAATCTGAGTGCCTGCTCTGTGTCAGGCACTGTGTGGGGCCTGAGGATTTGGCAGGCAACAGACACACAAATCACTGCCCTGGTGGAGAGTATGTTTGGTGAGAGACAGACAAAACACAAGTAAACTGTATCTTCTGTTAGGTGGTGGCAGGTGCTAGGGGGACAAAGTAAGTTGGGAGGGGAGGAGGAGGTGTTGGGGGTCTGCAGTCTGGGGGCAAATTGGAATGTGATGTAGGATGGTCAGGGAAAGTCTGGCTGAGAAAAGTGACATTTGAATAATGCCCCTAAAGAAGGAAGGGGTCCAGTCATACAGATATTAGGGGCAACAGCATTCCAGGCACAGACCTGTGTACCCTGGGGTAGGAGTGTGAGTGAAGTGTGCCAGGATCAGCAAAGAGACCAATGTCGTTAGTAGAGAGGGAGCTAGGAAGAGAGCAGTAGGGGTCGAGGTCAGATAGGTCACAGGGGCAGATGGTGGAGAGTCATGGGGAGCTACTGGGACTTTTGAAGCCGAGGAGTGACATACTCTGGTGTAGATTTCAGTAAGCTCTCTGGCTGCTGTGTGGCCGACAGACTGAAAGGGGAAGGGGTTATCCAAGGGAGAGAGCATGGTGGCTTACAGCAGAGGGGTAGAGGACAGGAGATGTTGTCAGGTTGTGGATATAATTTGAGGAAAACCCACAGGGTAGAGCCAGTATGGTTTGCTGAAGATTGGTTGTTGGATAGGAGGGAAGAATCAAGATGCCAAGAGTTTTGGCTTGTAGGAAAATGGTGTTGCAGAGATGGAGAAGCCTTTGAATGGAACACAGGAAATTAGCAGGGTCTCAGGTCTGGACATAGTTACGAGATGCCAGTTGTATATCCCAGAGCAGAGGTCAGAGAGGTGGTTGGTTTATGTGGGTTTGGAGCTCAGGGGTGTTGTCTGAGGTGGAGACCTGAATTTGGGAGTCATCGGCCTAGAGATAGGGCCTAAATTCAGGCGACAGGAGGAGAACAGAGTGGTAGGTGTGTGGAAGAGGGTCTTGCAATGGGAATTGAGCAAGGTGCATTGTCATGATACCAGCCCATGGGAGTGACATGGCTTGGTGAGTGAGTGTGAGAGTGAAGTGAAGTGGGGGGTGGGCTCCAAGGTAGACTCCAGCTTTTGGGTGTGGGGTACCCTGGTAACTGGCTGTGCCCTTCCCTGACTTAGGCAACACAGGGCTGGGAGAATGGGTTGTGTGCTGAGCCACCTGTGCTGGCTTCAACAGGTCGAGTTGGCAGGCTCTCAGGATCGACTAGGACAGATGTCTCATTGGATTGTGGGCATCCAGATCCGGGGAATCCAGGTTGGAGAAACAAAGCTGGGCTCTCCCAGGCTGCGAGTGGTTCTTTTTTTAAAATTTTTTTTTAACGTTTTATTCATTTTTGAGACAGAGAGAGACAGAGCATGAGTGGGGGAGGGGCAGAGAGAGAGGGAGACACAGAATCTGAAGCAGGCTCCAGGCTCTGAGCTGTCAGCACAGAGCCCGATGCGGGGCTCGAAGTCCCACACTGCGAGATCATGACCTGAGCCGAAGTCAGATGCTTAACCAACCGAGCCACCCAGGCGCCCCTGCGAGTGGTTCTTAATACCAAGAGTGAGGTGGGAGATTGTACAGAGGGATCCTAGCCTGCCTTCTTTGATCTGTTGTCACGACAGACTGTGATTCATACTCTTCTTTGAAGAGTGACTCACAGAGTGGCACCTGGCTCTACCCGCCAGGTTCAGCCTGGCCCCCAGGGACTGGGGAGCCCTCCCCTCTCTCCTGCATACTGTACTTCATGACAACAGAGCTGCGGTCCTGCAAGAGGATGTGGCTTGCTGAAGGTCGCAGAGATAGCTGGTAACAGGAACAGGACTCAGAGCCAAGCCTGCTGTCTAGCAGCCCAGTGTGCCATGCTGTTTGTGACTGTGTTGGCCAGGACACTTCTGGTTGCGAGTGACAAAATCAAATCACTCTAGCTTGAGCCAGAAGGTCAGATCTCGGCGCACATCACTGCTGCACACGAGGAAAGATGGCAATGGGCACACTTGAAGCCGGAGCTGCACACAGCGTTGTCGGGACTCCTCCTGTCTTGTCTCTTCTTGTCCTGCTCCTTATCTCTGTGGGTTCCTCAAGGTGCTGGGGGAGAGGAGTAACCTGCAGCAGTGCCGGGGGTGGATCTGTGCAGCTTGGGATCTGAGAGGAAAGCCTGGGACTGGCCTGGCCTGGGTCACTCCCCTGCAGGTGGGCTCAGGAGGAGCAGGGGGTCAGCCCCCCTCTGCCTCCCGAAGAGCATCCTGTGAAGTGGGGAGGGGCGGGCCCCCCACAGTAGATAAGGGTCCTTATCAGAAGGAGGGAAGGATGTTGGGCGGATGGTAGCAACAGGTCACCCACACTGGGTGACCAGGCGGGTTCCTGCTATTAGATTTGCAGTCAGGGGTGGGTGCTGGCAGCGTGACAAGAAGAGTGGGACGTAACCAGAAATAAAGGGGACTTAGCCTTTAAAAACGAAACTAAAGGGTGCCTGGATGGCTCAGGCGGTTAAGCATCTCACTCTTGATCGTGGCGCAGGTCACAATCTCACAGTCATGGGATTGAGCCCTGCTTCGAGCTCTACACTGACAGTGCAGAGCCTGCTTGGGATTCTCTCTCTGCCCCTCCTCTGCTCATGCTCTCTTTCTCTCATAGTAAATAAATAAACTTTTTCAAAAATGCTAAAAGAAAACTGAAAAAGAAACTAAAATCCCTCCTCTTTCCCTCCTCTCTTCTTTTAAATTGTACTAAATAGGTTCTTGACACATGATAGGAATGTCTGCCCGTTCATTGCATGTTTGAACTTATGTTTGCAGACCCACAGCTAACCACTGGGCTCCCTTAACCAGAGGCTATAATTTAGATCACTAGTAGAGAACACTGGATATCTACCTTTCACTATTTAGCTTATTTTACATACTGCCTAGGGGTTCCAGTTTTTTTTTGTCTTTCTAATACATGAATGTGGGTTTAACTAGTGATGCGATTTTTCCAGGTCTGGAACATTCTTTAGAGTGAAAGCCACCTGCAGGGTAAACTTTCATAAGCATCTTTTGCCCTTCCTTCAGGGCTGCGATGAGGAGCCTCATTCCCTCACGTGATTCCCGCACGCTCCTAGTCTGCTTATGTGTTCCTTTAAGTCAGGTGGACACAGCCTGCTCACTTACCAGTCATGGGACCTTGGTCAAACGCTGGAGTCTCACTTTGGTCATCTGTAAGATGGGTCACTATGAGGCCCAGGTTTCCCTTTAGAGCACCATGCAAGTGGAAGATGCCATTTTCCTTGCATCGTCGTGTTCTCATATGGGGCTGGAGTCTGTGGCGCTGGCCTCCGCTTTGCCTTCCGGTTCAGTGAGTTTGGCACTGTTGGCTGCGCCGTGTCTTGGAAGCCTCAGTGAAGCTGGAGCCAGGCCCGCCGCTTTATCGGGCATGTCACCTCTGTGCCTCAGTTTTCTCACCTCAGAAACACGTTGGCTACTCCCTGCCTCCGTTTCACACTGTGGTCGTGAGGCTCTGATAGCCCAACAGACCGGAAGAGCCTTCGTGAGCTGTCAGCGCACTGACAGAAATGCAAGGTGGCATGACGACTGTGTGCAGGATGGCATTTGTCTAGTCTGTTCTTTTTACAGTCACATCATCAACTCTGTTCCCTTAAAAGTCTATTTGAAAAATACAACACCATAAGATAAATATTTCGCTTTAGAATTAATATTCTGTGTACATTACATTAACAATACTCTGTACAATTGTAATATAGTAAAATTCCATTAAATGATAGAGAATAATATGCCTAACTGTCTAACGCCTAGACTCTTAAACTTAGAACAATTGGTTGATTCATTTTAAAATCAACCTGGAACCTAATCTTACTTCCTGGTTGTCAGTATTTCAGTTCTTATATTAAATGTAAAGATAACCAAGTAGTCTGTTTGTTTTCTAAAAAAAGAAATGTACATATATCCCCAGTCAGTACTCATTTTTTTTTCATGGAGAGCTGACGTCTTAAAATATTTTAATCACACTATTTCTTTTAGTCCTACAGGATCACATGTTGAATGGTGTAAACAGCTTATAGCTGCTACAATTTCTAGTCAGATTTCAGGTTCAGTGACATCAGAAAATGTATCCAGAGACTACAAGGTAAGCAGCATTGAGTCCTTAATTCATTTTCAATGTACCAAGAAGCTTTGCATTTTTAATTTCAGTGAGACTTTGGCCCCTTGATGTTCAACAGACATTTGTTTGGGAACAAGGGTGAAAGGTTCTCTGTTGTTAGATCTGAACTTTAGAGGAGAACTTTTACCAGGATCCACTAGATGTACTCATGGTTTTCAATTGAGGGGAAAAGCTGTCTTTAGATTGCGATCATTTTTCTAAAAAAATCTAGTTCCATTTTGTTATTTTATTACATATTGTATTTTTACCTTTTATTATTACAAAATGCCTCTATTTTCCTCGATGGTATTCTGAATTTCAGAAAACGTCTAATGGACCATACTTCCCAACTTCACAGTTTGTTTCTGTATTTAGGTGTTCCCAGTGGGTATTCAGCACTAACACGTGGTACTGCAATGTAAAAACAATTGCACAACTCCAGACTATTGTATGGGCAGCTTCGTTTTTTAGTCCTTAATTTGGATTCTCTGTTTATTGTAAAGTTAACAGTGATAAGCTCCTTGTCAGCAGAAACAGGGGCTCTTTTTACTCATCAGTACTTCCCCAGCACGATCCTGGAATATAACATGTGCTCAGTAAATACTTGTTGAATCGATTAACAAATAAAAAATGTATGTGCTCCATCTTTGTTAAGGGTAAGACTAACCTTGTTTTAACGTCAGTCAACGATTAAGCCATGCTTACATTGCAGTAATGGTGTTTGCTTGAATTGACGTTTCAGTTTCTTATAGTTATCTTTGCCTGCTAGTAAAAGAGAATTGATTTTCACAAGTATAGGTGAGCTTCATTTAGTATCGCGGACTACCCTCAGTCAACAGTCTCTCAAAATCATGGTTCTTGCCAGGTGCCAAGGCTTACAAACAGTTCAAGAACTACAATAAAGATCCTAATTAATTCTTTTTATTTTATATTTTATTTTATTTTATTTTATTTTATTTTATT